CTCTCTCTCTCTCTCTCTCTCTCTCTTTCCCTTTGCCTGTCTGCCTGCTCTTCGAAAGTCAAAAGTAGTAGTATACGCTGCTCCGAAACGAATCGCCTCTGAGATGAGCTGTCCGTTGAACTAGCTAGCTGCTTAGTTGACTGACTGGCTGGCTGGCTGGCTGGCTGGCTGGCTGGTTTGCTGGCTGGCTGGCTGGCTGGCTGGCTGCTTGACTGGTAGACGTGCTGCTCGCTCTCGCGTATAGGATCGAGAGATCACGACCGCTCACTACCACACAACCGCGGTACTCGCGCTACTTCAATCGCCGCCGCTCAACGCTGTCGATCCATTCGCAAATCGCGACCGTATGGTGACGAAGAAGCCGGCGGTATTCGCGAGACGCGCGCGCGCGCGCGCGAGTGAACGGCTGCTCCGGCGACGTCGCGACGTATGCGCTGGTGCGTAAGAGTCCGTAAAACGCGTGGATGGTGCGCGCGATCGTTTCGCGTAACCCGCGAACGTGTACACGGGGATCCTACACGCGTGGTATGCGCTGCCGTCGGCGTGTGTACGTAGTGTACGGCGCGAACTTATGTGTCGTTCCTCTTCGCACTGTGTGCTCACGTACGGTACACGTGTGCGCCGAGCCGAGTATGTGACGAGTGCGTGCATATGTGTGTGTGCGTGCGTGCGTGTGTGGGCGTATGTGCGACGATGTGTGTATGTGACGTGCGTGTCATGTGTGCGTGTACGTATGTATATGTCGGTCTGCTCCTCTGTACATGTATGTGGGTATGTATGTGTGGGTGTGCGTACGTGTACGCGTGTGTTTATGGATCTATATCTCGCGCGAAATCCGCTGCTCCGATGCCTCGAGTCGGCCGGACGACGGACGGACCAGCTCTGGGCCTGACGTCCAAACGCCCCTCTCCGCCGTCCTCACGACTCACGGCTGGTAGGGATAGTCGTGGGTATACCCTGCGCGCGCTTTCGATCCCACCAGAGAACGCCGCTCCGCGTCCGCTTTTGCGCCCCACCTCGTCGTCGTGTTCGCGTCCTCGCTCCCTCCCGGCCCCTCTTCATCCTCGATCGCCCCACTCTAGCTCGGGGCGACGTTGGGCGCACAACCTCCTTCGCGATATGCGCCCTTCCATGTGCCACCGCCGCCGCCGTCGCCGCCGCCGCCGCCGCCGCCGCCGCCGCCGCCGCCGCCTCCGCCGCCGCCACCGAGAGAGAGAGATCCACCCTTGCGTATACACGAGTGCAAGTCGACCTCCACGCGTACTGTCGCACACCGGGCATGCCGCCCGCCGCTCTCTCTCCGCACGCATGCACGGCTTGCCGCCGTGCGAGATCATCCGTGTGCATTCTTTCGAGAAACGGACCCCCTACCGCGCGCGTCATCTCCGCCGCCGCGTCATTCGCAATTCGCGACATCGGGCGACGAGATTTTGGAGCGACTCGTTGTACCTATGACAGTATGGAAGAAGGTAAGAGGTTTCTCTCTTCTGTTTTCGCGCGAACCCGCTTGGATTCGCGGCCGCGACGATGACGACGTCGACGAGAACGTGCTCGCAGCTCGTCACGCGCTCCGTCAGAAAAGCGTGACCGAATGAGGGCTCGCGGAGGAGCGCAGAGCGAGAGGAGAACCCTTTCGTTCGCTCGCGCTCTCTCCTCCTCGCGGTCGCTTCCCCTCGCGCACATATCGTTTCATTTCTCGTCCTCTCCTATCCGATCCGTCTTTCTCTCCGTCTTATTCCCCTTCCGGCGGATGCTCGATATCCCCACCGGGTCGCGCGGTCGCGCGAGGCGTGGCCTGTCCTGGTGCGGTGCCCGCCTCCTTATGCATTATTATAGCGAGCCACTCGTGTCTCTATGATTTTATATGCCGCGTTTCGGCGTGAATATTCTAGCGCGTCTCTCCACGGTGCTTTCTCTCTCTCCCTCCCTCCCTTCCCCCTCCTTCCCACCTTGCCTCCTCCTTCCCTCCCTCTCTCTCTTTCTCTATACTTCTCTCTCACTCTCTCTTCCGTCGTGCGTTCCCGGACGCCGCCGTCCGTGTTGCCGCCCCGCGTCACTGCCGCCGTCGTCGCCAATGTGCCAGCGATACCGTGTTCCATGCCGCCCAATTATTTTCTCGTTCCGCGAGAGCCAAGCTCTCGGACGCGTCCGTCCGGTCGCGAGCGCGACGGCGGAAATTCGCGAGGTAGGATCGTCGCCGTAACGAGAACGCGCGCTCTTTGACATCTTTGCGGCGCGCTCGTCGTCGATCGGTGAGCCGGCCGTCTCCGTAGACGTATACACCTCGAATACTGCGAGCCCGCGACTTGGCCGGTGTAATTATGCCGCGGCAAGATGCCGATTAGAGATTTAAAGTGCGCGGCTATTCGAGCTGAATGAGCGCGGCGTGTATCGATTAGTCACGCCGCTGTAGCGCGTTTAAACGAATCCCCGCAAAAACTCGCCGGCCGATTGTCCTTTAATCGCCGCCACCGTCGTCGTGCATAATGTAATCAAGCGCGGAGCGAATTTTATGTCATCGATTATGCAGCGAGCTCGATTGCGCCGAAATTAGCCGCCTCCGAGCGGCTGTGTCTATGTGTCGTCTCATCTCGAGCATTCTTTGTATCGGATACTGTTTCACGTGCGCGATACTCGAGATTCGTCGACGGCGATCTTCCGCCACCGAGGAGACGCGAGGAGGAAATGCAGTTGCGGCCAAAAACGCCGCACGCGTGTGTCACGATTAGAAATTTTCCCCGTGATCCTCTGACCACTAAGTTGAATCCAATCAGCTATCAGGTTATGTTACTAATTACACAGTCTGAGAAAAGAATTTTTGCCAAGTAACGCTAATCGGAGTAAGTGCTTTTTATAGATTTTCACTTAAACTATTAATAAAACAATTTTTTTTTCTTAAAATAAAAAGCGTTTTATTAAATTTCAATGTGAAAAAAATATTTCTTTTTAATATTTTAAAGTAAGTCATTCGAATTTTAACACTTATATCTCGTTTACTTTCGTATTTCATATCGAAATTTAATAAAGAATCAATCTATTTTTATTGTATCGTTGACGATAAGCGACTTATTACAAATTTTTTCCTCCGAATCGCTACTTTCCAATCTTAAAATTCAAATTAAGCTTAAAATTTAACGTGATGAAGCAATGTGACTCGCGGCATTGTTTTTTATGAGTGAAAATCTATAAGACCTATTCTAAATCTTAACACCTACTCTGATTAGAATTACTTGACAAAAACATTTGTCGGCCTGTGTCGTTAATAAAGTTTTAATCATTAATAGTCCTTACTTAATAAGATCCTGATTGCCACGTTGCGTCACATGACTAATCAGGACCTGCTAACGTCACCTTAGCATCACAAAATAGATAACTGATTGCGATCGACCCGACTAGGACTGTGAGGTAAGTTTTTAGTCGGGGAAATCGACTGTTCGATTTACTTTCTGCGCTCTGTCGTGTCACGTGTGGCACGCAGAAGACGCAGCAACAGAGAGAACAGGTGGATCGTGGACGATGGTACGGAGACTGGGAAACGCGGCGGGGTCTACGGGGAGGACTACGGTAAAGGCTGCGGTAAAGCGGCAAGTAGAAAAGCGGGAAGGAGCGTGGGGAGGAGAGGCAGATTGGGGTAAGGCGAGAAGACTGTGAGGTCGTGGTAGACGGGGTGTGTCGTAACGGTTGGTATCTCGGTCCTAACGTATGAATGAGGCGGCTATACTATGGTTCAGGTGCTCTTCCGCGACTTCCCCCTCCGCCGCCGCTCACAATTCGTCCATTGTGCTTTCGTGCACTGACGTTCGCTACTGGCATGGGATTTTTCTCGATAGAGCGGATTAATTATCGTCAATTTCGTCGTATAAGTGAAATTTCTCTGTACGTAGACCGGCATAATAGCCTTAACCAGTAAAATTGAGATTTTGGAGTTTATCGTGAAAAATACAGTCAGTGGAAAAAACATTTCAAAATGTATCCAATATACAAAAGCAACTTTCTCTTCTGAAAATTACTGAATAACTTCTGTTGAGTGCCAAATATGCTTTGAAATTTGAAGACAGAGCAACCTTTTTTTCCCTGATCGTATTTTATGCGTTTTAGAAGGATTTAATTTTATGTGTTAAGGTTATTATGTTGACTGTGTACAGTTAGAAGAAGTAAAGTTACAACACTTTTCTTCAATGAGTTTCACTCGTACCTAACAAGAAACTTGTACCTACTCGTACCTACTCGTACCTACAAGAAACTTTTTTTTTATTAACAGAAGCAACGGAAAATTTTTCGTAATTCGCATGATCTCCTTATTGCAAATAGAAAAAACGAAAATAGTGACTTCGTGCAATTATGGTGAAGAAGCAATTTTTTAGTTACATTAATCCACGAAGTTGAAGATACCCTGTCGGTCTCTTGCGCTCTCTCGACACTACTTCGGCGCAGTTGTATCTATATTTACAGAACGATCGGTACATTTCACGTTTCCCCTTATTCCACGTAATCCGTTTATCTCTTTTTAATGGTAAAAAGTATACCGCGATGCGACAATGCCGTTTACTGGAAGTTGACGCGCCTCTCATACAGGTGCGGTGCCGGTCAACTCTATGAGCAGTCGGAATTCCATTGTACGCTTCCCCGAGTCTATTCCTTCGTGCTTTCATCGCACCGCCACATTTAGCCAGGCGAATGTTGCATAGACTTCCTAATTTTCTTGTCGAGCCACCCATAAGAAGCCTCCTAAAATAATTTATGTAAAAAGAGAATGTAAAAAGAGAAAATTGCTCTTTCCTGTATTAAAGTTCTTAGCCTTTCGCCGCGACCAGTTTCATTTATGACATCGAAACGGGCAATTGTATGCCCGAAATTCCTGTAAAGCAGGCCGAAATAAAAAGACATAT